AGAGAGAGAGAGAGAGAGAGAGAGAGAGAGAGAGAGAGATGCTCAGCCAATTTCACAAGAATGCAAGTATATAATCATATATGCAGTGAAGACTTGCATATGCCAAAGTACAATAAAAAAGCTACCCTTAATGCCAAAGAACAAATTTGAACAGAAGGATATAGTGTATGACAATAAAAGCAATCGTAACTCCCCACAATACTCTAGAGTCCAAACAAAAGGGTGCAAGACTGAACTTACTTATTATGGTCTAAATTCTACTGAACACCAGGGATAGTTCTGAGTAAAAAAATAGGATTGTGCTGTAAAAGCCTTTGTTTATTTGTTAAAAACAAGAACCTCCTTTTTTGTCAAAAGAACACAAATTCAACTTAGTGCAACAGAGTTCTTAATTTAGACTGCTTCCCACTGACCCAGCTGAAAAAAAAGTAGTTTCAAGTTTATCCCTCCCCGTGTCAGTAGGTTTTTAGTAACAAGGAATATGACTCGACAAAAGGGAAAAACTTCAGCAGCTGCTTTTAGAGTTTAGTTAACCCAGGAAAAAAATAGTTTGTGTAAATACAACTTGATACTTCATTGCATGGCCAAATAACAGAAGAAGATTCAGCACTACTAGATGGAAATGCTAGGTGAAAGTTCCTGTACATTTTAAATGGAGCACTTACAACCGTTTTAGGTCTTTTAAGCTGTAGTTCTATGCATGTTTACCTGGGAGTAAGCAGCATTCAAAACAGTAAGACTATCTTCTGAACAAGCATACACTAGATTGCTCTGCATATGTTGGAGCACTTGTATTTTTACTAATGTTGTTCTTTAAATATCGCATTTATGTGTTATTTTAGAATTATTCTTACCACTGAGGCATTCTGAAAGTCTTAGGTCTAGTGGGAGTGTGGATATAACTAGCTAATCTCAAGATGAGTCCTTTTTTGGCATCCAGATTTTGAAATTGTCTCCCAAAAGTTTCAGGGGCCACAATCACTCAATTTTAGGGAAGTTGCCCAGAAAGGATTGTCAGATTAATAGCTCATTCTTGATTCTGTGGGTAGCGGTGTTTTGTCTGGTTCATTTTATCTTGAACTTTTTCTGCATGCTGCTTTTAGATAAAAACTGTCTTCTGCTGTTTCCATTTTTTCAATTGTTGTATCTAGACTATTTTATTCATGTTGTATTCATTGTTAATTGTATTGGCTAGAATAACCAATAGCCAAAGCTTTGGCTTTCTGGTGTACTGAGCTATCTTATTTGTACAGTAGGGCAGGGAATAAATACTAAAAAATAAATAATATGGTAACATAACATTAATTGACTGGACGTAACCTTTTCTTCCTTTCCTTGCCTTTTTCAAAATGTTGCATAGACTTGCCTTCTTTTTTAGCGATTTGTTTCTGTCTTCCAGCCAATCATCCATCTGTTCTTCAATCTCCTCAATAGACGTGCCATGATCATATGATGGTACAAATGCATTTGTTTCTGCCACTGTGTATACCGGATATTCAGATTTTGGTTTCTTGACTTTAGGTTTCTTTTCTTCTGAAAACAGAATTTGAAAGAGAGTATTAACTCAGCAAGAAACAGGATTCAGACACATACTGCACCCAAATATTTTAAATTTGTGCTTGTGTTTTTGATCACAGATGAATAAAAGGTTAAATCAGTTGAGGGCCACAACTATATCATACAGGTTTGCCTGATCATCACAGCCTACTATGGTGCAATGCAAGGTGAATCAGCATCTGTTTTGAATATTCAGGCTCCTGTGGGAGGTTACCTTGACCTATTGTATCAGCAAATCTGGCAAGGATCTTCTACAGGAGAGGTTAAATAACTGTTAAAATTATATTTGTTCAGGGAGGATTATCCCTTCATATCTTTGTGAATTTCCCAGTTTGCCCCACTTTTGTTCAGGGAGATATGTATAGGGTTGAACAATCCTCACAAAACCCTAAAACAGCACATTGTGTTTTACAGGCATCAAGTATTATATTTTCATCTTTCCAAATAGTTTCCTTTGGAAGTATGGGAAGATATCTTGTTTCAGCATAGCTTTTCACAAGAAAAAAGATCAGGACACTGTTTACTGTTTTTCATCTAAATAACTTACATTTAATGTTTTGACATATAATTAGTATAAACCATTATCATTTAGAATATAACAAAAATTACTGTCCTATCTTCCACTACACAGAATAAAAATTAAAACACACCTCTTTGTGGAGAAAGTGACAAGACGAAGAACAGTTGCAATATGAAATTGCTTTGCATGCTAGTTTGCCCTACTACCATAACTTTTAATATAAAAGGTAAAAACAGATATGCTAGAGACAAAGACCACCACTGTACTTTCAATCACTATGCATGAGCATGAGCGCTGAAGAAAAGTGATGCATCTGAAACAGGCGTTGGAGGAGAGCTTTGAGAATACCCTGGACTGACAGAAGGATGAACAAGTGGGTCCTAGATCAAATCAAGCCAAAGCTTTCTCTAGAAGCAAAAATGACAAAACTGAGGCTGCCATACTTTGGGCACATCATGACTGGAGAAGAAAATCATGCTAAGGAAAGTCGAAGACAGAAGAATAACTGGAAAACCAAAGAAGAGATGGATTGACTCCATAAAGGAAGCCATAGCCTTGAATGTAGAGCAGCTAATCAGGGATGTCATGGGACATTTTGGAGGGCTTTCATTCATAGGGTCACCATAAGCTGGAAACAACTTGATGTTGTCACATGACAACAACCTATCTGGTAAATTTTCAACCTATGGGAAAATTTACCATAAAGAAGATGACACTACAGTATTATACTTCTAACAAGCTTTGCAGTAGGGGGGAAAAAACCAAAAGAGGAACATTTATGAAATTCTTGATTGGTTTAAAAGAAGCAAATCACAGAAAAAATGAAAAAAATATATGCATGGCTTTGCCAAATAATAAGGAAAGTTACATACATATTTCAGTTAAATCATGTTTAAGCAGATGGGAGAGTCTCATCAACATCCAATTCAACATATCAAAGGGATCACAGCTTTTCCTCATAACCTTTAAATGCAGGTGCTTATAATTTTAAGTGCATTTTATAATACTTAGAAGTCAAACCAATTTGGAAGTACTATAAAATTCACCACCAATTATTTGAATTATTTCCAGGCAGGCACAAAACCAAGGAAGGCTTACAAATAATGGCTGTTTCCTGAAGACCTTGCCCAAGTCTTCCCTTTCAGAACTTCTTCCCAACAGTATTTCTTACACAGCTAATTCATTTGGATGTAATAATAAACATTCCTATAAAAGAATAGGAATGTCACTGTTATAAACTGCCTAGAAAGCTTTGTCTGCTGGGTGGTATAGAAATTAAATGAATAAATAAATTTGGCAAATTCATACTTAAGTTAACCTGTTCCTAAGCAAAGCTATTTTCTCTAGAATGTATTTAGTATGCACAACAGATTTGGAAAAGGTGTGACCTCCCTTCTCCACTCACATATATTAGAAAGGAGACATGGAATCAATACTGTGCAAAAGAAAAAATAACTCACTTGGAAGTGTTTCCGTTTCAGCTCTAGCCAAGGCCTCTTCTTTCTCCTTCATTTTTGTTTCTTTATATTCTACATACAGATGTCTGGCCTCCTTTAAGAAAACTTAATGATATTAGCATCTCAAAGCAGCTGGCTGTGAAGGCACCATTTTAAACTTTACCATGATTAATTTAAAGCCCCCACAATTAATCATCTCAGAGGTGGGGAACAGTCAGGTGGTAAATTAATCAAATATTTAAATTGTGAATTTACTATACAGAAGAGAAAAAATTAACATAATTGCACACCACAGTGCTATTGTAGCAACACTCTAAAAAAGTTTTATCAGAGCAACATGTTGCTGTAACTTCCTTTAACTGAGAAAATAAAATAATTGCAGATTTAAAAGGCAATTGTTCCTTGCTAGCTTTCTGCTGTGTGCAAATACCACTACACTGACCATTCAGCTGACCAAGGTACCCAGAGTGCTTTCACTGACCCAAGCAAAAAAATGTCCCTGCTCCCTTTTCCATAAGTCAGGGACTATGGAATCCTATGGACATTTATTTAGGGATAAACTCCATAAAACATAGCACGAATTGCTTCTCAATAAAAATGCATCGGGATGCACAAAAGTGGAGGAACAGGGACAAAGTAATCAGAAATCATTTGTGCAGCTGAAATATGTGGCACCCAGCAAACAAAACAGATAACCTTCTTTTCCCACATGCTGCAACATCCACTGAAAGTCGTCCATGGAAAAACATCCTAATGAAAGCATTATTTCTAAGTTTAATTGCACAGGTATGTGTATGAAAGGGCTCAGGATAAAATTCATCAGCCATGTTTTATTTTGTGCATTTTTCATTATTGTGCACAGCCATAGCAAATTAATTGCAATCTAAGGGGAACCACTTAAAGCAGGATTCAAATTATTTAAATAATTTGTTTAATTTTATATAATTTGTTCAGGAAATAAATTGGCTCACTTGTTTGCTTTTTGTGAATTCAGCTATAAATTAGCATATGGAAATTTTATGCAAATTTTGTCCTATGGGCTTGTGTCTCCAATCCTTCAAGTGCCTAGTAACTACCTTCTCTAGGCTTCAGAGGGTCAGGACTGCAGTTTGTATACAATACACAGAACAATTCAAGCTAAATGTTTAAAATGATAGGCAGTAACTTAAGTACTTTAAAAACAAACGAAATGTCTGCATTTTGACCTTTTCAAATTCAAGTAAATATATCAATGTTATGTTTTTTATCTTTGTGCTTTTACAATCTGAAATTATTTAATACTTAGACACAATGAGACCTGAATGCATTGCTGGGTTTTATTTTGCTATTAGGAAATTACCAAAGCATGATCATTAATCATCTACCATGCTGAGTTTTGGAGATTACTTCAAATGCACAGAACCAATATACCATGGATGTTTTGCTATGGTTTCATCTTAGACACAGTCAATCAGCATTTAACTTTAACCCCTTTGACACTGAAAGCCAATATTTGATGCTAAATTCTGGAACAGAATCTATTATTGCTTATGTGACCACAAGACTTCAGACTCCAAGGGGATCTGTCAATCTCTCTGCCATGTCAATCATGGAACAATTGGAACTGAGGCTCAGATGAAAGTGATAGAAAAGAGGAGAAAAACAAATACAATTTTCAGTAGTCAGAACTGGCAAAGACTAATGATTAATTGTGAAACACCTCCAGTTGGAATTATTGTAGCACATAGGAGATCAGGCTGAAGCTATCCAACTTTTAAAAATGAAACATGCTAGTAATATCAGTGCATTATGGATTAGATATTAAAGAAGCCTTTCTATAACAAATCAGAAAAACATTTGCATTTTGGAGGAAGGCTATAGCCTCACTTGCTGTACAGTAATGAGAACATACATTTGTAAGTATACCCAGAGCTTTATCTGCTGAACCAAATGAAAGACTGTTAAATATCAAGTGTGTTCTCTCTTTAGACTCTTTATGAATTTGCAAAAGGGTTATTGAAATATGCTTATTATTTAAGTATTACACTGAACCCAAGCAAAAGCACTGTTCTCTCACTTTAAACCAGAATTTACGATCTGAAACAGAAATAGTTTAAAATAATGTATCAGTCATATGTAGTGGTTTTCAGCTCTCTACTCTGAACAAATATCAAAATTACTTTATATTATATGGATAGTAAATATGAAGTGTCATAAGTCAAGAAGCTGCCTTATAGCAAATAAGACTATTGATTCAACTAGCTCAGTATTTTCTACACTGACATGATGAGTAATCCTATGCAAAATTAGAGATAAAATCCCACAATTCCTAGCATAGCTAGCTGGGGAATGCTGGGAATTGCAGAGCTTTTTTCTATTTAAACATGCACAGGATTATGCCCTTTCCCACCTATACTTGGAGATGTTAGAGACTGAACCCAGAACTTTTTACAGCACTCAACCACTGAACTATTTTTGAAATGATTCCTGATAATCTCTCTTCCTATAAACTTTGCTGTTTCATTCTTAAATCTATTTGCCTAGATCAAGAATGTTTATATTCTGTATTGCCCTTTTGGGTTTTTTTGTTTAGTCGCCAAGTCGTGTTCGATCCTTCAAGACCCCATGAACAACATTCCTCCGAGCATTCCTGTCTTCCACTCAAGCCCACATCAACTGGCCCAGCGACCCCATCTAGCCACCTCAACCTCTGCCATCCCCTTCTCCTTTTGTCGTCAATCGTTCTCAGAATTAGAGTCTTCTCCAGTGAGTTCTTCCTTCTCATTAGGTGGTCAAAGTATTTGAGTTTCATCTTCAGTATCTGACTTTCTAAAGAACAGTCAGGGATTTCCTTGTCTGATTTGTTTTCTTTGCAGTCCAACAGACTCTCAGGAGTCTTCTCCAGAACCACAATTCAAAGGCCTCAGTTCTTCAGCGCTCGGTTTAACTTATGGTCCAACTCTCACAGCCACACATTACAACTGGAAAAACCATAGCTTTGACTATATAAACTTTTGTCGGCAGGGCGATCTCTTTGCTTTTTAGTATGCTGTCTAGATTTGCTAATGCTTTTCTCCCAAGGAGCAAGCGTCTTTTAATTTCTTGGCTGCAGTCACTATCTGTGGTGATCTTGGAGCCCAAGAAAATAAAATCTGTCACTACCTCCATTTCTTCTTCATCTATTTGCCTGGAAGTGATAGGACTAGATTCCATGATCTTAATTTTCTTAATGATGAGTTTGAAGCCAACTTTTGAATTCTCCTCTTTCACCCTCATCAAGAGGCTCTTTAGTTCCTCTTCACTATAAGCTTCTATTCTACAGAGAATTTAAAGGCCTAAAAATATACTTTTTTGTACTGGTTGATCCCTTTACTTCTATGTTCCTTTTTTATAGCCAAAGTTATCTTGAAACTTTGAAAAATTTAAAATACATAACAAAAAAAACAACGATTGCACACAAAGACATACACATATCTAAAAATGTCATGATGGATCAGGTTCCGTAATAAAGCTGGTGCCAGTTAATAGCAAAGATTTCTCCCCTATGTAGTATATGCAAGCAGACATGGGCAAGGTATAAAATAGGAAGCTAAAGAGAAATGTAAACCTGAGAGTCCTGGCACCTTTTGCAAACTTGTTGGCTAAACTTTAATCAAAAATAGGTAACGAGTAATAAATAATACTACTAGGACCATGGGCTACCTGGCTTGAAGGCTCCCTGTTAACTGTTTCTGCACTAAAAAGCCAACTATTCAACAGACAACATCTTCCCACAAAGCATCCAACTTGAACTTTTCTCCCTTCTGACTTGCTTGGTGCAGAACTCAGGTAGTTATCTGCAAGAAAAATAAAGTGGGCTGGTAGCCTTGTTCAGAACTCTACAAGAACAGTAGATGCTCCTTCTTTACTGCATTGCTGAAACATCAAATTTACACACAAAAAAAGATAGACTAGGATACAAAAAGAAGCTTTCTCAAAGAGGAAAAGCTTCACACTTTTGAAATTCGAAAGATAAATGAAATCTGTTTCCTGCTCCACTGGATTGTTTGTGGAAAACAAAAGTACTCATATCTCATGAATTAATGTTTTCCTCAAATAATCACAATGTTATCATGAAATCAGCACAACTATAGGTCACTGACTTGAACAGCATCCAGACAGCAAATCTACAATAATTTACATCTTCTACTTTACCTGCTATTAACTAAGAAAGTTTAACCAGTTCTTGTCTGTGAGAAAAGGTTTTAAAAAGAAAAGCCTCCCAATTATTTAATTTGAGAATTCACATCTCAACTTAGTGCTCATAAAAGCACACAAACAAAGAATCAGTTGAAACAGCACATGAAAACAATTAAAAACCACTTAAGAGTCAGAGTATATTATATATGGCAGTATATCTATGTATACAGTTCTGCTGTATTTTCTTTTTAAAGGAATTAACTGGCTGTTACCACCAACACTTACAGGAAATTAATCTGCACAGCTAATCCCAGTGAAATAAATGGGAACTATGCAAGAACACAGCTAGTCTTCCCCTGATCCTATTCATTTTAGTGGGTGCTTTACAAATGTTCCTGGGAAATATGCCTCACAACTGAAGTAATACAGTTGTAGACTTCACAATTGAAGTAATGCAGGTAATGCAAGAGCTTCAGTGAAGACCAATAATTTCTGTGGAATTTCCCTGCTTCAGAACTGTGGAAACAAACAAACAAACAAAGCAAAATAAAGTTCTGGCATCCGCAACTGTGATGAAAAGTGAATGCAAACCAGCACTCTGGAAATGAAGGATGTGGGTGGACACAAAGGGTTACTTAAAAAACAAAAAGGACTTCTCTACAAATAGGGAAAGTTTGTCCCCCAGAAATTCAGGTTCTCCAGAATATTCACTTTAATTACTGAAAAATATTTGGAAGCCATACTTGTATTGTACTAGATGAAAGAATATTTCTTGATCAATTAGACATTAATTGCTAGCTTTATTTCAACTATTTTAGATTTTTAATTTGCACTGAGGTTCTTTAAACCGTTCTCTTTTGCTTAATAATTTTGTTTTTGGGAAGACATGCTTGATTATTTTTAACCCAATTTTAACCATACATTAAATGAAACAAT